GGCCCATCCGACATTATTGATACAAACTAATTGTCATGCTTATAGGTGTAACTAACTTCACAACATAATATGCACAATTTAGTTTGCATTACAACTTAACCTATCGTACGACATCAACTGGAAAGTATTTCCCCTTGCGATGCCCTCCTCGATCATTTTTTGCATCTCTCTAGGGTATTAGAACTCATTCCGTGCATCTATTTCTGCTTGGGCTCCCATCTCGTCAAAATATTTTACGAGCAGTCGAAATGTAAACTCAACCACAGCTGAAATAGGTAGGTTCCTTGCACCTTTCAAGACACTGTTGAAGCACTCTACGTCATTGCTGGTCAATACCCCCCACCGATATCCACCGTCATATGCAAGGGCCCACTCCACAAGATTCATCTTGCGGACCCAATTGACGGCATCTTGGTTAATGGCCTGTATTTGTTCTAAGTAGGCATTACACTTTAGTCGTTGATGAGCACTCCCTGCTTTCCATAGAAGTTGTTTCAGCTCCTTATTTTTAAACTTTGTGTTGAAGTTACGACAAACATGTCGAAGGCAGTGCCAATGATATCCAACAAATTGGAGCGAGGGATTCAGCCAATGCCACCTCACAGCAGCTAAAATACTCTCAGCTCGATCAGATATCAAAGTCACTCCCTCTCGGTTCATGACAATATGTTCCCTGATATTTGAAATGAAGAACGACCAAGACTCTAAACTCTTCGTGTCGACCACAGCGAATGCAAGCGGTAATACTTTGCCATTGGCAGTGACGATCGTTGCTACAGGCAACATACCAGTGTATTTGCCGTATAAGAATGTACCATCTATGGTTATAACAAGCCTACAATATCTGAATCCATCGATGACGGGTTTGAAAGACCAGAAAACAAAGTGGAAGACGGGCATGATGGTTGTACCTCCGGTATATTTATGCTTTCCATTTAACAATGGTGGCAAGATTAGATGTCTATAATGCATGCATGAATTTAGGCAACTGCCTATACGATTCATCCTAATCCCCAAATACCATTCTAATTGCCTTTGACCTTACATGCCACGCCTTCTTGTATGATATACTGTAGTTCGTGGTCTTTTTGATATCTTCGAAGACATTCTTAATTGGCATATGAGGTTCATTCTGCATACGACAATCAAATATGAGTTGGATTATTTGAGTGTGAACACTATAAACAAACAAATATATATATATATTTTTTTTTTTTTTCTACTCACCGCAACTTGTTCCAAAAGATAAGAAGCAATGTAACTGGAGTCAATATTAATGTGGTCCCTGTTCATCCTTAGGTATAAACAATGGTTCAGACCCCTATACTACTTTATTTCAAAAAGACCGTGTTTCTTATTAAGAGATGCACGGAACCACCAACTGCAATCGTGCTTGCAAGCAAACCCCCAAAGGTCTTGCTTGGAGGTTACGACCTTATGCTCTCGATTATTTCTTGCGTGGTACAATTTCACATCATGTACAAGTTGCTTCTTATCGACGAAAACCATCCCTTAGTCTAACTCTGCATTTTCAGCGTTCCAGATCCAGTTATGGGGTCCGACATCACGGCTACTCATGTCTAAATCACCACACGTGTGAATGTTCTCATAGAAATGGATTTCAGGTCTAGATGGGATGCGGACATTTTCAGGGCCAACGTAGCCGTCGCATAATCTTCTTTATCATCATCGTTTGATCCGGCCAATAAATTTTCTTCATCAAGCATTTCATTTTCATCGTCGTCTAGGGTGACATCAGGACCATACAACTCATTGTCAGCAATAGTGTCCGCAAACTGCACATAGTTCACCGTTTCCGCCATACTCCCATCAACTTCAACTGGAGTGGTATGATGGCTGCAGGTGGGAACATCTTCTGTGTTATTGTGAAATTCATAATCATATCCACCACGCAAACTTGATTCCACACCATGGATCTCAAATGTCTGTTGTGTGTAGACCACTGAATAACGTTGATCTGATGCATACATAGGAGACCGAAACGCTGTCGTGTCAATCCCTTGTGTAAGCAATGTAGCGAAAGGACGAGAATCCATCTGTCTCATATTCGGGACATTACGTACAACCTCTTTATCAATGTACACTTCCAAATAATTTGGTGGTTGGAAACTTGCACCGATACTTAATATGGTGTTCAACGTCTTATCGTCATTGATCGGTAATGTCTTGTTTCTGCTGATTGCTTGTCACTGGCGATAAGGATACCTACATTTGAAGTTCAATCGGACACTTTCGCCATAACTTGGCACCTTGGAGATGAACATCTCTTCCAAATTGTTAAGCGTGGTGTCAAGTTGCACCCCATATATCCCTTTCAGCTCAGCATCATATGACACCTTCATCGGGATCCCTAATTATGTTTTCCCCCAGTAGAAGATAATTAGAACACTCTCCATACACTCGCTTCAATGAAACAAAAAACTTAAAACATCAACAATATACTTATATTGAATTTTACTTCTAAAAGAATTATATGGATTTTAACTCATTCAATTACAATTACTTGTGAGTCAAGAACTTTATTTGAGTATTCATTAATTGTAATCCAACAATAATACAAGTCAACCTAAATAATTAATAAAAAAATATTTTTTTAAGTAATAATTGTTTATGTCCTAAATAATTAATTAATGAGTTAATACAAGAGTTAATAAAATTAATATTGTTAATTAATGTTTAATTTTTTAATTAACTCATTAAGTAATATTGTTAATTAACTCATTAAATAATATTGTTCTTTTAATGATGTCCTAAATAATATTGTGAACTCATTAAATGAGTTAAAAATTAATGAGTTAATATTGTTAATTAAGTCATTAATTAATGAACTCATTAAATAATATTGTTAATTAACTCATTAATTAAATTAACAACAATATTGTTAATTAACTCATTAAATAATATTTTAACTCGTTATTGATTTAATCAGTAGAGTGGTGTTTGGTTGAATAAGCTGTAAAATAACTTTTTGCTGTGTAATGTTCATTTTGCCTTTTTTTTCCTTGTATTTTTTTATATTCATATTAATTATTTGTTTCTATATTTCTTTTCTTTATTAGTAATTGTTTATTATTAATTGTTTTTTTTTCTTGTATTCATTTTATTTTATTTTCATTTTCTCCTTATTTTTTTATTTTATTTTTTTTTCTTTGTTAATTTTGTTTAATTTATTAATTCATTACAATTAATACCAATTAATATTCATGTTCTAATTTATATTAATGTTTTGATTTCATTACATTCTATTTTTTTATATTCATTTAATTATTTATTTGTATATTTCTTTTCTTTATTATTATTAATTATTTTTTTCTTTTTCTTCGTTTCTTTTCTTTTCTTTTCTTTTCTTTTTCTCCTTATTTTCTTTTCTCTCCTTTCTTTTTTTCCTTCTTCTCTTCTTTTCTTCTCTTAATTGTTTTTTTTTTTCTCTTCTTTCCTTATTTCTTTTTTTTTTCTTTTTTTCTCTTAATTTTTTTTCTTTTTCTTCATTTTATTTTCTTTTCTTCTCTTCTTACATATTAATTATTTCCTTTCTTTTTTCTTATCTTTTTTTAATTTTTTAATTTTTTTTTCCTTCTGTGCTCTCCTCTTTCACCCACGATGGTTGAAACCCTAGAAATGGCTTGATTTCTGGCGATGAGCTCAAGTCCAATAATCGCACCAGCACCCGAACAACCCCTTGAGCCCCCGTGATCAACACGAAAGAGAGAGCTCTGGTTCTGGTTCTGGTTTGTGAGAGAGAGAGAGAGAGAGAAGAGATCACAACGGAGTAGATCGCGATCGCGGCGGCGCTAGGGTTTCAGATCGATTGATCAATCGATCGATCGATCGATCGATCGAGAGAAGACAGATCGTGACGGAGCATATCGCGATTGTGGTGGTGCTAGGGTTTTAGATTGATCGCGGTAGTTAGGTTTTACCCCTCAATTGAGAGAGAGAGAGAGAGATGTTGATTAGCTCCTTGTTGTGTTGGGTTACATGGTGAAGGCTCAGACATGGATGATGTGCTGTGTTGACCCCTCATCGTCGCTCTTTCCACCTCTGGAAATCGCTTCTCTCCACTGGAAATCACCTCTCTTCTTTCGTGAGAGGGAGAGAATGAGTGTGTTTTGTTTATATACCTGGTACACTTGTAATAACTTGAAGGTGTGAAGGGCATTTAAGTCTTTGATATTCAGCTTGCCGCTTAAGCTGAAAAAATAAGCACCTCCTCCCCCACTCAACCAAAAAGCTCATTTTCCACTTATAAAAAGCTATAATCTACATCCATTAAGCTACACCAAACACTTAGAAACAGTTTAATTTAAGCCAAAAGCTGAGTTAAGATGTTTTTAAGCTGTGCCAAACAGGCACATTAATAGTTCCCTTGGTGCTTTATATACCAAACTAAGGTTTCATATTCCATTGACGTAGGATGCAGGTTATCACCTCTACTTTTTCCCATCGTTGGAGGAATTGATGCGTTCAAGACCAAAGATTTATTGAATGAAAAAGATATTCATTGGGCTTGAAAATAGTTTCATTTAATTTAGTTTAGTATATCTATGATTTTTTGTTTTGTTTTGTTTTGTTTTGCTTTTTGCCTTTTGCTTTCTAGTATTATGGTTGTCCTTAGGATTGGTTGAGTTTATTCCTTAATCATTTGGCAGTGTGTTTATTTTAGTGGGTATTCGTTAGAAGCAGTTTCCATATTATATGGATGTGCTGGAGAATAGAAGATTTGGAGAGGTAACAATTCAGTTTTATATTTTCTCTTTGAATCCTTCTAATCTATCGTTTATAGGGTTTCTTTTAGACACCAAAGCATGTTGATTTGAGCCCTATATATGTGGGAAATTGCAGATTTCTGAAAAAGAAGTCGGATTCTTTGCATGTTTTCAGCCTTGATCTGAGTTTATTCTAGTATGCTTTTGGTTATGGTTGGTGGAGATGCCTAGGGGCTGCACCAAACATGCTATTATTGCATATGGTTTATTTGTGTTGTTGATTGCTTCATGTTTGTTTCTTCTCTTTTCTTTCTCTTATTCAACCATTTGCAGAGGCTGGAACTGAGTTCTATATGGGCTCTTCTTGCTGCATTTGAGGATCCTCTTCCCAACCCTGCCAATGCAGTTACATTTCCTTTTGAAGGAGCTTTTGTAAAAGGAGTTGACTCTGTCTCTTGGATGGCTAATAATGCAAAGAAATTATTGTGTTCCCAGAACACTGGCCCTCACTGTTGGACCTTTTTCAGTACAGCAACTTTTGGAAAGAGGAATAAGGTTCCACAGGTTAGTCAAATTCTTATTTATCAATTTTTATGCAAATATGCATGCTTGTGCGTGCACACACGCAGAGGCTTCGACCAAACCAAATACTGGATTAAAGTTTTTGGGTTCTCTTTGGGTTGACAACTAGCATGAAACCTCTAGTCAAACCAACGTGGGTGCCTTGGCGAAGCGACCTTGGCGAACACTAGTTGGTAGGGAGGGAATTTACCTATGCACAGAGAGTTTAGATGACATGCACTAACCCTTACCAATTTGGTGAGACTGGTGAAGAGTATAGAAGTAGGCAGGTGGCTTATTTTTGGGGTTTGAGTTTCTTGTTAGATACTTATGAATGATTCATTTTTGTGCATTACAGGAAAATATTCCAACTGCCACGGCAGAGAGGGTGAAGGAGGCAATGCTGGAGGGTGTTGAGAATGCACTAGGACTATCCAAAAGCTCACTTAAGAGACCATTTTATACCCGATTGCAATTGTGGTACGATTTCAGCTTCTTAGATATGCCTAACCGTTAGGGTGAAAGTAATGAAGTTTGGATTCATTCGGAATCTGTTGTATATTTGTGGTTGAGAGTGATTAGGGATTAGTAAGTAATCAAGACACAGTATTAATGTAGGGAAGCTGTAAAATCAAAATTTACTAATAGTTTCTCACGCGTCTCTTCGGTCTTCTTCTTTCCAAATCCATGGGTTGCCTTTCTTTCATTTGATGGACTACTATGCATATAATCTGGTTTCTGAGAACATGGGTTCTGTTTGAAGACTCTCTCTCGATTGATGGAATAAATAATATCAATTTATAGTGTTTTGATGAATTTAAGCAATTATGGTCAATGTCATGAGCACAACTGGGGCAATCGTATTCCCAGGATTTTTCCTCTTCTACAACGATATATTGAAATATGGAAGGCTAAGTTATGTAAAGCTGTTCTATAATCAGTCATTTTTGCCTTTACAGTGATTTAAGGGGTTATTATTCAGTTATTTCTTTGGTTAGGGCTGCTTTCCATGCAATTTTGATTTTTCTATTTTTTTTCTCTTTTCTTTTCTGATGTTGAAAAACAAACAATTGAGAGAGATTTTTGGGTCACTGATCTCACTCCTGCTGGCTGCTGCAGTTGGCTTAGGATTGGTTAACTCTAAATTAAGCCTTTTCCCTAGTTTCTTTGTTCTTTCATGAATAATTATCTTGACTATGAACCTACAAAAATAACAATTTTGCAGAAAGATGAACAATGATTTGGTTATTATTCAGTTATTGTTTTGGTTAGGGCTGCTTTCCATGCAATTTTGATTTTTCTATTTTTTTTTTCTTTACTTTTCTGATGTTGAAAAACAAACAATTGAGAGAGATATTTGGGTCACTGATCTCACTCCTGCTGGCTGCTGCAGTTGGCTTAGGATTGGTTAACTCTAAATTAAGCCTTTTCCCTAGTTTCTTTGTTCTTTCATGAATAATTATCTTGACTATGAACCTACAAAAATAACAATTTTGCAGAAAGATGAACAATGATTTTGAGTCAGATGAAGAACAGTGCATATTAAGACTTCATTTGTGTATTGTGGTGCTGTTGGATATGTTATGAGTGGTTGAATTGTAATGCTGCTATACACTGATCATTTTATTAGTTTTAAGGGACAGAAATTAGATATATTTCTACCTGCCTTTTTGCTTTGAACATAGTGTCCGCATCCTACATTGCAAGAAAAAGGGTACTAGTGAATAAATGATATAGAGTCAGATAATGCACATTAGAAGTAATAGTTGTTTATTATTTGAGAACATTTATTTATTATTTTTATATGGCTATTTTCTAGTACTTTACATTTTTACTCTTTTTATTTTTATTTTTATATTTTGACATTCAATAAGATTAGTTTGACATTCCCTAAATATGTAGGGGTGCTGCTCTTCCCACTAATACTCCAGGTATCCCCTGCATCTTTGATCCTCATGGAAGGGCTGGCATATGTGGTGATTGGCTATTGGGTTCAAGTTTAGAGGCAGCAGCCATAAGTGGCATAGCTCTTGCTAATCATGCAAGTTCCTTTTATCCCTCTTTCTACTCTTTTATCTTGCTGGTTTATATGTTTATATAAATTACAGGAAGCATGAAACTTTGAAATCATAATGTCTATGTCTATAAAGCATCTCCATCACGAATACTCCATTTTAGTCACTGTACCCATTACAAACATGCCTCAGACATGCCGGAACATGGACTTGTCCAATTTTGTTTTGCTGGATACGTTGGGCGCACTGGACATCAAGGCGTGTCTTGTGTCTGGACACGCCACAGGACACATTTGGGGTTTTATTTTAGAAAGGTGATTAGTGGTCAAAGTAGAATAATTGGGAACAAAAGGGTGGAGCTTCAAAAATAAAAACAAAAGCTTTCCCCTAGTTTGTTCAATCTTCAATGTCTTAATCTCTGCCCTAAATTTCATTTGAGGGATAGAGAGCATATCTCATTGAAAAATTAGTTTTCCCTCTCATCTTTCTAGTGTTATTATCAGCTTTCATTTACAATGGTTGTGGAATTTTCTATGTTTTGATAAATGTTTGACACCATATTATTACTTAAAATATAGTGGGAATTTATTTATTTTTGTTGGAAAACCTCTTCATTATTGAACTTGAATGATTTTGACTTATGTCATGTAATGAGTATTTTGTATGTTTGATGTTTAAATTATAGATCAAGTGGTTTTTTCATGTTGAATTAGTGTGAATTTTCATTATTCTTGGTTTTTGTAGATAAAACCTAACAAGATAACAACATGAAATGTGTATTTTTATTTTCTTTTTGTTGGATCTCTACCATGTCTGTTCTTTTTGTCGTATCTCCACCATGGCCATGTGTCACTGTCCCAATTTAGGTTTTTTCCTTTTACTTCCATTTCTGGTGGAAGTTTCTATAATTATGTAACTATTGAATTGAACATGGTCTTGCAATGCAGATTGCAGATTACTTCCAAAGTGGTGGAGCTCGTCCAGATGAATTTGCTGTTGGTTTACATAATGAATTTCAACCACTTATCGGACATGATATTGGACAATTTCCTGGCCTAGAATCTGAGGAACAAACAGTTATGGCTCAGTCTATTCAACTTAGCACTTGAGGTAGAAATATATACACATTTTTTGTTTCCTGAACTTGAATGTGATTTTTTTTCATTATGCCATGTAAATGATCCATCATGTTCTGATTTATGGTATCTCATGCTAACTTTTAGTTTGATTTTGAAGCTTGATTAGGTGGTTGTTGAAGTTCTATAAACATATAATTGTGTCAGCTGTTTCAAAGGGAGACCTCAGGATTAAGCAGTGGAATCATCTGAAGGAATGTTTTATGGTGAGTTTTCTTATGATAATTTGTATGCTTTGAGATAAATGTCGAGACATGTGCCTTTCGCAGCATCATGCTTAAAATGGATTAGATTTGTCATTGGCAGCTGCCTGTCTTGAGCCTACCTGCTCCCTGCTTTTGTAATCTATTCCCACACTTAAGGGTGAGTTTCAGGAGGCATCTCTAATGTTTTTAACAGTATAACTGGGCTTCCTCCATGTTGTCCCTGAAATATTTACATCTCGTGTGTGGGCTGTAGTCCATTTTAGAGTAATGTACCCTTGATAAAAAAACTGTAGATAAGGATTGTTAAATGGAGGATAAAGTGTAATGTTAGGTTGAGTTTGAGTTAACGAATGGACATTGAAAGGGGAGGTTATTGTTATGCTATGTGTTATTTTCCCTTATGGGTATTTTTGTACTTCGAGCACTTTTAATATAAGTATGATTGTATGATGGAGAAAACCCTAAGTTACTCGCTTCTCTTTTTCTCACACCATTCTCTCTATTCATCTCAACTGGTGGCTTCTATTTACATCACAATTATAGCTCATTACACCTCCCATTTTTTTATTACAATATTGTCCTGCAAAATTACTTCAAGGACTAATAACATAAAAAAATGTTAATAGAATTTTCATTTATTCCCCTTTTCAACGGCTACCACCCTTCTCCGCCACCAACCACTAGCATTTCCCCTCTCTCTCTCCCTCCCCACCCTTGTGCAACTCCCACACCTCCACCATTAGAAAAGGCAACTCACAATCCATAGCATCACTAGCCCAAACAGCATCAGAAAACAATAAACTTTGATGCAAAGAGCCCTAAAGACGATGCAAAATCCGAAGACCAACAAGTTGGAGTAGAAAGAAATTGATTGACTATATGTACTGCAGAAGCAATATCAAGGCGAGTAAGGGTAATATAGACAAGACTATCCACTAGAACACGATACAATGTGGGATCAAATAGAAGGAACACCATCAACAGAAGTATAATGCACATTAAGTTCAAGAGGAGTATTCACAATGACATTGGTTGGTACCCCTTAGGAGAAGCCATCTCAATTCCCAAAAAATAACAAGGCAAGCTAAGGTCCTTCATCTCAAAATGATGGTGCAATTGAGTCTTGTGCACAAAAATATCGTTAAGATCATCATCAATGATGATTGTGTCATCAATATATAACAGAAGATAGTCTATCCCGCATAATAGAATGAATACAATGATGATTGTGTCATCAATATATAACAGAAGATAGTCTATCCCGCATAATAGAATGAATGCAATGAGCCGAATTATAATCATCGGTACGAATGCCCAAGTCACAAACCACAGTAGAAATTTTTTCAAACCAAGCTCGAGGAGTTTGTTTGAGACCATATAAAGCTTTATGAGAAGTTTGCTAACTTCACCCAAATTATATGGAAACCTAAGAGAAACCATAAAAATTTTGTCAGCTAAATCACCATTAAGAAAGGCGTTCTTGACATCCATCTAGAAAAGATGACAGTGACGCACAACTACAACGATCAAAGTATGGGGAGAGTAGTCATCTTGGCAATAGGAGCAAAGGTTTTCTCATAATCAATTTCATGTTTTTGAGTAAACCCTTTAGCCACAAGTCTGGCTCTGTATCTTTCCACAGAGCCATCCGCTTTGATTTTATTCTTGTACACCCATCAACAACCGACATGTTTACCAAAGGGTAAAGAGACAAGATTGCAAGTTCCATTCTTGCGCAAAGTAGAAAGCTCCTCATTCATAACCTATTGTCAAAGAGAGTTAGAAAGAACCTCCTTATAGGAGGTTGGCTCAGAAAGAGAATGAATAGATGACAAAAAGGAACAAAATTCAGAGGTATAATAGGAGTTAAAGAAACCAAAACGATAAGGACACTTACGAGGCCATTGAGGATACTGAGAATCGGGAGGAGCCTCATTGTCCATAGGCAATGGAGACAGCCGGAGGAGGTAGGGAAGTTATACCTCTAGGCAAATCATGCATTTTTTCGACAAGCATAAGTATGAACAATATGAGGAACATCAAAAAAGAGCAGACAAGGAGAAGAGGGAATTTTTAAAAGAGAGAAATCACGAACATAAGGATCATAAGGAATATCATCAAGAAAGTATCTAGATAAATAATATCAGATTTAGAGGCAGAAGCAGAGTGAATGGAGAAGAAGGGTATATGTTCTAGAAAGACATATACTCTCCTCTCTTTCCCCTCAAAAAATTGGTTAATCTAATAGGTTAGTCAAAGTATAATTTAACCTATATAAGCACAAAGAAATAATGCATTGAGGATTCGTACTCTAAATATAGTAAAAATTAACTGGGTAAATGTCAGAGGTCTTTCCCTTTAAAAACAAGTCATTTTAGGAAAACTGTAGTTTTGTTAGGCATACTTTTATTAATTAGTTGTTCTTGCTATGTGTATGTATGTTATGCTATTTGTATGATTTTATTTTTAGAAACAAGTGGCAACCAAGAGTCCTGTAGAGTTGCTCTTTTTCTCATCATTGCACTTGTTCAACAACCTAATTAGTAATTAGTGAGAATGGACTTGAATTTGATCCATGAGTTGATTTGTGGTATCAAACGCAATTGATTGCATGAATGGAATTGGCCTTTTTAGTAGATTTTTAATGTTGTTTGGTCTGTGTATGGTCTTAATTACACATTATACTTTTTATATTCTATACATTTTTTGTAAAATTTATACTTTTTTCCCCCTACTTTCTATATTTTATATTTTATGTACATTTTTTATATTTTAATTCTGTACAATTATTATTTCTCATTCATGTAATAGCAAGTTAAAATTCCAAAATTTCATGCATTATGTTATTTTCATATGTGAAGCATGCTCCATGTGATGGTCGTCTGTCAGAATTTCACAAGGATCCATAATTGTTGTGCGGTTTAATTTCTCAAAACTTTAATGCACTGTTTCTTGAGATTTATACTACATCTCACCAACACAAATGGAAGTACACTCACGCACATACTGAAGAGAAAAATAATTACACATATTTATATGGTTCAGTCCAAATTGCTTACGTCTATAGGAGAGAATTTCCATTATGAATAAAATAGGGAATACATGTGCAGGGCCAAAAAACGCAAAATCCACACAATCACCCAAACCCCATGTTCAAGGGTAATTGAGCCCTTACCGACCCTCATCTTGGTGCTCTCAATATTTTTTTTTCACCCCTTACATCTCTATTTTTTGTCCACCACCCTTTTAATTTCTCTCAGAGAAATCCTATAATTCACATAAATAGTAATCTACTAATGACTTAGTACTATATAATTAAATAACCAAATCCTATATATATTAAGTTTTTCAGTAAATTTTGAATTCTACTATTTTAACCCAAATACATATATAAACCAACTTAATAACTGTGTAGGATTTACCTTTATCACATGAGTGGACTAATCTTAACACTATCTTTTATTTTACTTTTATAAGGTTTTCTTGAAGTTGATCTAATCTTAACACTATCTTTTATTTTACTTTTAGAAGGTTTTCTTGAAGTTGATCACAATCAATTCAAGGCAAATAATGATCTATATTGCTCACAGTAATTAGAAAATAATCAACAAAAGTCTCGATTTTAGTTCGTAGTTATTATGATTGCAAACTTCCCCAAGGTATGGGCCACGTTAAAAAAACCTCTACAAAGTAAATCCTAAATACTTGTACACACTCGCAAATTATATGTATCAACTAAGATTAGATGCAATACGAAGAGATGTCATACTTCAGACATTTGAGTTTACAGTTCATCGCAAAAAGCCTTGCGCCCAAAATATGTCCAACTGTCCATATTTTATGAAAACAATGAGGGAAAAATGTAGGACACAATCTAAACACGTCTCAAAAGTTTCCTATATATCCCCCCACAACATATACCAATTAAAACCAAACCAAACAAAACAAACTCCAGCAATTCTAAATAAAGATCTAATATCCCAAACCTTTTAAACAAACTAATTACAAGGAAACAAGGTGGTGTTGGTGGTTGAAGAGGATGGCGATGACGATGAAGGGGAAGGAGGAGGAGGTGAAGTCAATCCTGCACGCTCTTTTTCCTCCATAACCCATAAAATATCATTATCAACCAAGTTGGTTGTGGTGTCAATGAACAGGCTATCGAGGTTGAACTCAAAATTTTCATTGGATGGTCCATCAAAGATGAATTCAATATTATCCTCAAAACCTGTGTCATTAAACAAGTCTGGTAGCTCACCTACTTTCTCGAGGGGAATGTCAGGAACTGGAAGCATATTGAATCCAGTATCCAAACAGAGACTCCAAGGGTGATCATGCTCGTTGGTGGAATCCGTCACCACCATATGATCAGCCGAGTCAATGGCAGGAGGGAACTCTAAGTTTAGAGGTTGGGGTTGGGGCACCACCAATATTTTCTCTTGTTCATCTTCTCGGTGGAGGCGGTGGTGGTGTTGATGTTGAAGTTGTTGTTGATCTCCCCACTCTTCTATGGAGGATTTGGGATTTGGTTGTTGGGGTTGTTCATCTAAAAGAGCTTTGTTCTTCTTCAAGCGGCCTGCATAGATGCTGATGTCAAAGTTGGTAACTGCATTTGGACCTCTGTACTCTATGGCTGCCATGTCATATGCTGCTGCTGCTTCTTCTTGGGTGCCTTCAACAACCATTGAAATTGAAAGATTAAAAACAAACAACTACAAAAAAATAATAATAAAATAACTATATACATACTTTCCCTTAGAAACCAATTTCTTCGAGCATTTGAAGAGAGGGGGGTTGGGAGGGGGTGGGAAAGAAAAGAACAGAAAAGAAAAAGAGCAAATGGGTATCTTCTTTATGTTGAAGTTGACAATGGTAGAAGAAATCTGATAATTTTTTAATTAATAGAAACGACAAATAATATAAAATATATATTAAGCTAGTAAAATATATTTTTGAAAAGAAAACTCAAGAATTGCAGCATTGTTTTTATATTTACAGTTGTTAAAAAGTGGAGCAGTTGGTATCTAAATCTCATACCCTAGTTTTTTTTTTTGTTTTTTTTTTAAGCAACAGTAGTACTACTAAAGTGTTACATGGTAGAGTGAGTTAGACACATGCAAAATAATGTGACATTTTATGATCTTTTCAATTCAAGCCAAAACATTTATTTGAATCGTAAAAATGTCACTACCACGTCATTTTGTATGAGTTATATATATAAAAAGATTATATGTAAATCATTTTTCCATGCAAATATGTTTGGTTTGAAACTTTGCCCAAAACATAAATACTTGTTGCCTTATAGTGGCTCATGGGGGACCCACTAAGAAAATAAATTTATTTTTGTCTTTTTCGTTCTTTCTTTTAAAAGTTTGTCTTTTTTGTTCTTTTTTTTTAAATTAAAAGAAAGAAAACACGGTAATGACAATACAAGGGTTGTCATGCTAGTTTGAAGACTACTTGCTATGATTTTAAATAGAAAATAATGATATTTTTCACCCAAAATGAGAAAAAAACAAAGAAACACAGGGAAAGGCTATGATACACTCCCAAAACATTATCTAGGCATGGTGATTCTATTGCCAAAACAATTTTGATTTGTGCACCATGTTTTGAACTAATCAAAATTATTTTGACAATAGGATCACCATAGTGTGTGTAGGTGAGAGAGAGAGAGATTCATTCAATAGTAAATAATCCGGTACTACTTAAATGCTGAAGTTAATATGAGAAACTTATTGATACATCAAATACAAGGTAGCAATTTTACACTTTAATTATAATTTTAACAATTTAAAATCTTCCAACTTTTTAACTTTTTCTTTTTTTTTTTATCAGCAAAACAAAAGACTTTATTGATGATAAGCCCATACAAAATATGAAATGCTCCAACCTCCTATTCCAACTTTTTAACTACGTCAAACAACCCCAAATAGTACAGTATGCATTGTAAACACGATGGCATCATTGAATTGGAAGGACTCCACAGTCTATTTGCTCATTTTTACATTTTTTAATGGGCATTCGATGGATTGTATCTTTGAAAAAAGTTTATGAAAATTTGTGGGATCACTAGTTAGAAATACAAGAAATCCTTTGTCCCATATCCCTGTCTCAAATCTCGTATCGGCCACCACGCGATCAAAGCTAAAAACACTCACTATATTGGCAGTGTTTGGGACAAGGGGCATGGGAGAAATATGACGGGATCCTATGGGCTATAGAAACTATTTGTTAGTTAATTTTGCCTGTAAATAGACTCTTGGGAGCTGTTTCATTTGGGCATACAGTTTCATTTGGATAGACAGAGGGAGATATTTTCCTTTGATTGGATGTAGGGAGCATAGAAAAACATGTGCATCCCTACGGCTCCTCAGCAATTTTATTTAATTTTATTTATTTATTTATTTTTTTGTATCATTCGTTTGGTGACTGGATATAAAATTCGATGATATATTACATCCTCTACAAATACAGGATTTGTAATACCACCCCACCCCACCCCACCCCCTCAGCAAATTTTTTTGTTTGGTATCATTCGTTTGGTGACTGGATATAAAATTCGACGGTATATTACGTCCTCTACAAATGCAGGATCTGTAATACCACCCCACTACACCCCACGGTATTGCATATCCCCCTGCCACATGACGGGTCATCCTTCATGCAACTGTAAAAAAAATCTCTCTCCTTTGTCAAAAAGGCCCTAGTGCAAATATATGGACAAAGGGGTTCAACAAATGGACATAGAAGTGTCACACTAACCACTCACAACATTGTAATAGCAAAAAGGGAAAAAAAAGGTGTAATTATGGGTACCACTTTAATATTATCATATATACATAATATGAGTAGAAGCAAGTGGAGGAGTTCTTACTGTAAGTTCCCAAATATAAATATTTGTTTCCGAAAACCCGCCCAATTCGTGCCTCCCATCGCCCATTGTGATGGTGCCTGTCAAATGTGATAAAAGCTTTATAATTTTTCCAAGGAAAAGATACTAGAAGTGCCTTTTGTATATAGAACCAACTATATACAATTTTGTATTAGTTGCGTGTGTGTGTTTTCTTGCAAATTTTCACAACAATAACTTTAAGGACACAAAACTAACCACAAAACCAACCATAGAAAAAAATAGTGGGCCCCATAAGAGCATAATTAGAGTAATTAATTAGCATTTTGTGAGACCCATTTTCTATTCCATCAATGTACCTTGTAAATGGAATACAAAATGAGTCTACACCATTGATCTCCGTGGAACTAATGGTTTAGATGATATGTGTAGTTTAGGATATAATTAGAACAAGTGATGTGTGGATTGAGAACAAAAATATAAAATCAATTTCCTAAGTATATGCATTGAAAAATTATGTACACAGAGATAAAAGAGTTTGTGGAAATAGAATTTTTCCAAGGTTTTGGTGGTGGGTTACCTTGCCACACCACGGTACTTAGAAACACCCCTAGAAAATCCACTGCTTTGGCGCCGTAGGGAAGCTAAATACTCTTCCTTGGATTGCTTTTGCATTTCCCCAAGTTCCTTGGTGTATGTATCAATCTGTATTTTAAGCAAATATTTTATAATAAATAAATAAATAAATTGTTAGCTGAAAATAATTCATGCATAACTAAAATTAATTACAAACTTAAAGGAAGTGGAAGAAAAATAGTACCGGAAAATTCAATGCAGTATCGGCCCCCCAATACTTAAGGGCCGCGAGATCGTAGGTATGAGCAGCTGCTTCCTCATTATCATATGCTCCTACATTCAAAAGAGAAATAGATTAAGTGACAACAAATCACAATACTGATATTGAAAATTTTAAAAGATTGTTCAAAGGGAATGGCTCTCATACACAATATATGCATTGGTTGAGGCAACAAAACATTATTATACAACAATGGCGTTTTAAAATAAGAAAAATATTATACATAATAAATACGAGGTAGGTCCCACATAAATGTAATAAGATGTTATGTTTATCAACAATATTAGGTATCATGAAAAGTCTTTCATGAAAATGGTCATGAAAGATTTGTGACTTTTGGATTACACTTACAATAAAGCACCACACACTAATCAAAATAATGTAAGGGTCACAAATTTTTCATGATAATTTTCATGAAAAAATTTTTATGATCCCTAACATTTCTCTATGTTTATGCATAGGATCACTTTAATAATAAATAATAAGCCCCTTCCTGTTGTCAAAGAATAAATAATAACAAAGTAGGTAATCTTTAGTTTTGTATTAATTATGCAACAGTCAAAAACTACTTAACAATACGACACCCAAATTTTAGAAAAAAATCTTCTGCGACCAAGTGTGAGAAAATTATTCAAAAAGTACCAAAAAAATAATAAATTGTGTGACTCATATTACATCAAATTTAAATCTATATGCCAATTCATTTTCGGGTACTTTTTTTGGAGCAGAAGTAGTAGCTTTTCCGAAAACCATAATTTAAATAATAATAATAATAATAATAATAACAAAAGAACGGGATAATTGATAATAATAATTAAAAAAAATTAAGGTTAATTACATTCACTTTACCCCTCAAAATTCGTAGATTTTGACCCTTAGCTATATAAATGTATGGCTTTCATATTTGTGCGATTTTCGTAATTGATGAGTGAATATGTACGAATTTATAACGAGAAAAACGTGATGTTTATTAATAGTTGAGTGAATTTTGATGTAATTAACCAAAAATTAATCTACAAATCAGAAGGAGAAGAAGAAAAAGAAAAAGAAAATAAGCAAGAAACGAAGAGAGAGAACAGAGGAAGAAGTTACCCAAATAAACTAAAATGGCAGCGACAAAAGCGTAAAAGAACGTTGCAATGACAAGGATCCATCATCAACATCAACCATCATCCATCCATCCATCCATCAAAGAATAAAAACACAGGAGTCAGTCAGTCAGAAACCCACCCACAAGCATGCCATGCAATGCAACAGATGCTGTTCTGCACTTTCACTTGTTATTATTATATTTAATAACAAACATAGATTGCAGCAGATCTCTTTGATTTTATCATTTATTTATTTTCAAATACAAATCTATGCTGAAAAGTTTACAAATTAAATTAATATTAATTAATTAATTAATTAAAGATTGATGATATAGATATGGATATAGATATTCACTTTGTCTTCCTTTCTTGTTTTGAATGCTATTCCATGAACTCTTATCCCACAGATGAGCTTCAAACCTCCCTGTCCATCTGTGCCTGTCCACAATCAAAATCTCAATCTCAATGCCATTTTTCATTCATTTGATTATCAATTATCAACCCAAATTCTCATGCATGCAAACAAATGAAGGGAGAGAGAGAGAGAGAGAGTAATTGCTATGAATTATTAATTACCTGGTGACTCCTCTGTAAATGGAGCTTCTTCTAGGAGAGTTGGGATTAATAATCTTCTGGGACTTGTTTTGGTTGAGATTTTTATTGATTGCTCCTCTGGGTCTGGATCTGGGACGCTTGGCCTTGGGCTTGCGCTGGGCTGATTGATCATCATGATGATGAGCAGGATGAAGATCAGACTCAACGCTTGAAGTTGAAGATGAAGACCAACAAGAAGAAGGTGACCTCTTCATTTTGACCTCTGCTCTGCTCTGCTCTCTAAGCTACTTTAGCTAGCTTTCTCTCTCCTCTTCCTCACTTCACAACAAAATACAAAATGTGGGTAGAGAGAGAGAGAGAGGGGTTATGATATGGAGGGGTGGCAGGTCTAAAAGACTCTTATGGGCTTGTTTTCTGGTTACCTAAAGTGGTTTACCAAAACATGGAGAGAGAGAGAGAGAGAGAGAGAGAGAGAAGAAACTTCAGAAAGTGAAGCTTGCTTTTAGTTTGAGAAGGGGTGCGAAGCTTTTATGATGTAATAAAAAAAAAAAAAAATTGGTTCAGCTAACAAGTGTTTTAAAGGTATCATGAAATATATATATATATATAATTGTGTAGAATTCTAGAAATTTTTTTTATTTTATTATATATTTTTATTTACGCTGTGGTTAGTTGAAAGATTTAGGAAGGGATTTGGAAAAAGAAGGAAAAAAATAGGTGAAATGTGAATAAAATATATCTATATTTTATTTAGTTTCTTACAAATTTTTTTTTTCAAATCCATTTCCAAATTTTTCAATTAAACACAACGTTAGTTTAATATTTTTACTATTTTTACAACGAGTAATGCTTGGAATTTCGGAAAAATTATTAAAAATTCTACATAGTATTTACATGGGCCTGAGACCCACATATATGTGAGTATTGTAAATTTTTTGACAAACTTTTTGAAATATGTAGCATTTTTGTTATCACATGTTGCAAAAATCTCAATACTAAACAATGAAAAAACTATTAATGTAATATATACTTTATACAAAAAAATATAATTTTTATCACAAAATGTATAACTGTTATCACAGAGAGTATAATTTTTACTACAAAAAATATTATTTCAAGGGCGCACATTATAATTTCGTAATTTGTAACTTTTACTATAATTTTTTTTCTTTTCTTCTGATGTGCTCCTTTTTAAGGTGTACATTAAACAATACCCATAAAAACTTGCTAGTATTTGTCATAAAGGAGCAATACTACATGTTATCATATTTCTTACTTTTTTTTCCCCACTCCTAGACATACAGTAATTGGGACGACATTAATAAAGATATATAGGACCAACTTACTTGTATCTTGGAGCAAGAAAAATGAGTAAAAAAATATAATTATATGTAGCATATTCTATCATAAAAAAGTAAAAAATGTTACATATAATATTTTATTATTATCACTTTTTCTCGCACCAAGACATAAGTGGGCAAGTCTCATATGTATTTATAAATATGAAACCCATTACTTTGTGTTTAGGAGTGAGTAAATGAAATAAGAAATTGAATTACATATAACATAGTCAAGGACGGAGCTACATAGGGTAAGGGGGCACGTGCCCCCGTCTCTCATATTTTGAAAATTACACTTTTATCTCTAATTATAAAAAGTTTTTCATTTAATTCCCTTTTAATTTTCAAATATGTTTTAAAATGTTTATATCTCATCTTTCTTTTTAATAAATTCCTTATAATTTACCATTATAAATCTTTAATTTTATCAAAATATTCTCTTATAATTATTTCTATCTCTCTCATTTCTCTATTGTTTTTCTCCATTTCTATTTATTTTATTTTTTTGTATGCATGTTATTATATTTTAAATTATGATTATCATCATATTTAGTAACTAAAATAGCAAATAAAAAAGCATCAGCTAATTACAACATGTCTAAGACACATAATTTTGATATCACATTGATCTTTGATCATTCTTGTACGGGAGCAAATATTCCGCAGAGCTCGTACTCCTTTCATCCAAGTTCCTTGTCTACCCGATCGACTTGCGAGCACAACGGCGGTGAGCTACCCGGCGGTGTGTGGCTGGAAAATCCCTTCGACGGTCATGTTAGCACACACTCAGAAGAGAGAGAGAGAGAGAGAGAGAGAGAGAGAGAAAGAGAGAGATACTCAATGAATGTAAGTCTAACTCACCAAAAATGATGTTACATGCCCAGCATGGGGGCGCAGTCACGCTTATATACTTTCTGCGCTCAACTCTGCACCCATTAGTCTCTTGACACGTGGTGTTGCTCTCCCATCTATCAGCACAAATCCAGTAATCACCACCTAACCCAATCGTCAGGCTACATTAGCGGGAACTCGGCAGCCCGGCGGAGTCACCTCGGCCTTCCACAACTATGCTGCGTAACGTGCCCGAGTGCTCCACTCGCCGAGCTCCATAGCAGCCGAGCTCGGTAGCACTCTGGCAAGACCGAGTTCCAGACAGGTTACACTGGCATTCAGAAGACTTTTCCCACCAAGCTAATCGTGCTCCCACAAAACCCGGTAGCAGACGTTCATCTTGGCTAGGTAGACCTCGGGGATAGGCCTCGGTCAAGCAAGTCCAAATCCGGGGAAGCTCGGTCCAAACACGGGACCTGGACCTCAGACCTAGGCCTGGACCGAGCAAGATCATCTCAAAGGAAGCCCTAATTAGCTCGGCCTAAACAGGGGCGAGCCTCGACCGAGCAAATCCCACTCTGATCAGGCCCTAGTTAGCTCGGCCCAAACATGCTCCGCCATCTTCTGTCCGGCTCCTTCCACGGCCCAATTCCAGATTATAAATCTCCCTCTCAATTGCCCTTTAATTCCGTCCGTGCAAACGTGACTGGGATTACATGATCCGGCCGAGGTAAATTCTCCCTCGGTTCTTAGTTCGCAAGACGTTAACTGCGCTAATCCCCATGCTCGGTTTCTTGGCTTGCTCGGTTGACTCCTCAACTTGCCATCTTGTCTCTTCAGTACTGACGCCGCCGCCATTATGAACACGCGTCGTCCATTTATTGGCCTCGAGCAGCCAACCCAGACGTCCCTTCACATTCGAAATTTTGGCGGTTCTTTTCGCCTATAAACACGTCATATCTCCCATTTGTTCCCTTCTTACTGCTTTAGCTCTGCTCTAGACGAACCAAAGCTACTGTGCCAACCTCACTACTCAAACACTGTTCTTGCCTTGGATTGAAGCTCGAAGAATCAGCTTTTGCCTCTATACTGGTAAGCTCTACGAAACTCCTCATTGTTTTTTCATTAGGTATTTCACATTCTAGGGCATGAAATCCATAGATTTTAGGATTTAACCCCCCAAAAACCTCTTCTGCCCCTGCTCTCTTTGCTGTTCTTCAACACTAGTGATGAACACACGAGGATCTGGAGCGGACCGAGCTCCAGGCCTTCTTTTGATCTCAAAAAACACCTAAACCGAGCAAATTGCGAGTTTGCAAAAACTCCTGTAGGAATCGAGGTAGGCAGAGGGCTTGATCGCTTGACCGGGCTAACATCTAGTTCGCTTTAGCGGCCGAGCTTCTGGATTTACCTTCGCGACCGAGGTGGTCTGGCACTCCATCTGACCGAGCTAAAGTCAATATCGTTTTGCGTGACCGCGCTCCCACTTACACTTACCCTCATTTTCTTGTAGAGTCCAAGGGAACCACACACCAACACTGAGGCTCTCAAAGACCGAGCAGCCATCAAACAAGAGTTTGTGCCAAACCAACACAGCCGTGCTAAAACCAGCCGGCTGCACACATGGGGCGTTATCATTTCCTGGTCGACACGCCGGTCGCTCTAGCTGCATTTCGGGAAGAATACGGTATCCCGGACGACGTTCATCTAGAGGTCGGTGCCGAGAATACGACCCCTTGGGGTAGATTAGACCAGTGCCCCTTCACCGTGCTTTCTATTATAGAAGGTGGGCTCCACTTCCCGGTTAACCCCCTAATGTGCGAGTTTTTGCGGCGCACCGGGCTAGCACCAACCCAAGTATCAACCAACACTTACCGCATAATAAACGGAATTGCTGAGCTAAACAACTGGCTAGAAACCAATCTAGGATTAGTCGAGATACTTTGTCAGTATACCCTCGGGCATACAGGCGACGGCCTTGCCTATTATTTAAAGATCAGATCGGGCAAGGAAAAGATAGTGACTGGCACCCCGGACAAAGACATGCATGACGACGACTTTTTCTGGGTGTCCGGTAATTATGAATCAGCCGACATGCCGGGCTGGTATATCAGTCTTCGGTTCAACATGTAAGCCGTGCTAACTGCTCGGTCAAATTACTTTCTTTCTATATTCTGTACTTAATATCTTTTCTTCTTCTCTCTGCAGCAATCGAAGCTTTACAAGCCAACTACCATTATCCCAACGAAGCATCCATCAGAACAGTGCTTCGGTATCCTAACCGGGACTGCCACGACCTCCTCGGTTATGTACCGACCTACAGATACTCCGCTCCCCGCCGGAGTAGAGTGACCGACTTTCTTCGCGCGCCATCTCCACCTCCTGACCCCACACTTCCGGATGTGCCCCTTATCCGGTTAACCGAGGCAGAGGAGATGGCCAAAAGAAGCCGTATCAAGAATCTCATCATCACCACATCCACGGAGCTACCGAGCATGCCACCTCGCGCTTCAAGAGCCAGGCAAACATCTGAGGTCATCATTGCCTTGGCATCAACCCCCCCATCACAGGCCAGTAAGGACACCCGCCGAGCTGGTAAAAGGCCTCGAACCGCCGATCCCTCAGCTGAGCTCGTCGCGGAGCTGAACACCGAGCAACCCACGGTCACAACCAAGCTACCACAGCCCTGGAAGCCCCAGTTGAAACACCGGGGTAAGGAGATCCCGGCAACCGCCTCGGTCAAAGGCGACAAGGAACACCTCCTAGCTTTCAACCTGACAAAAGCCCTCATACTGCCGAGTGACGTGGTCGGCAGCGACCACATGCCCGACACCCGGCTGGTGAAATCCTTGGTCAAGTCTATGACCCGGGTAAGAGTTTTGCATGTTTTATTCAAATTTTTCCAAGTGTTTGCTTGGTTCCCTCTCTAATCAAACTTTTTTCTTGCAGGCCATCCAAAAACAACACCTTGTACTGGATCGGATTCACAGACTCCGGTAGAAGGCAACCGACGCTGCCAACTAGGTTGAGCACCTTCAAACCGAGCTGCGGCGATCAAAAGCTTCTTTGGAGATCGCAAACTCCGACTACTCCAAATTGCTCGGACAGCTTGGAGCCGCCGAGCAAGAGAGGGACGCCCTCCGGGCCGAGCTGGAGGCGTTGAAACAATCAAGGAAGGATGAGCTAGATGAGGCGAACAACGAAGGTTTCAAGGAGGCCGAGGAAAACTACAC